ACAGATTGATGCTATCTCCGTCATAGGCATTAAATGTTAAGTGGTTTGACTTTGGTGAAAGTCTAAATTGGTTTGACCGGTGGTCAAAGAGTTCATGAGAAACCCGTAACACCTAAATCGTTTTGAAAAGAAAGAAAATAAGTTGACTGTTGGTCAACCGTCTAAAGAACCGAATGTAAAGTTGAATTGATTTTTATTAAAAGGATAAACACATGCACGATCTTAATTGTTGAATTATTATGTTTATTCTTGTGCTACAATGGAGTACCACTCAGCGTCAATGCTGAGCGGATAGCGTTGTTTTCTTTTGCTGTCCGTAGGTGATCAGACAGATGAACCTAGAGCCAATCCCAGAGGGCATTGAGGAGGAGATGTACGATGGCGTGGCTGTCTCTTTAATCTGTTGATTATGCTTTATTTAATTAACTTTAATGCTTATTGCGTTTTCGGGCAAGATCCCAAGTTGTTTGACTTTAAAAAGGCTTCCGCATTATTTTAAATTACTCCGATGGATTTTTATATGTATTGAAAGAACGTTTGTTTAAAATTGTTTTGAAAATGTTGCAAATTCGGATACCAATTCAGTGGCACACCGGTCCGCTGTCTCACGGGTTTGGGTCATGCGGGTTGGGGTGTTACACAACACTCACTAAAAATGAGCAAAAGTCAAACTGGGAACTTAAAATCCGGACGGAAGGAGTAATTATTTAAAAATATATCAACTACTGAACTTAAAATTAATACATGAACAATGCTAGATTTACAAACAGAATGATCACATATTTCACAAACTTACCATTTATAATATAAATTTTCATTTTAAAATTATTTTAGATTATTTAATGTTTTTTTATTGAAGTTCACAAATAGTAAATTTGTTAATTTTATGATCATTTTGTTTGTAAATCTAGAATTTCTCTTAGGCCCCGTTTGGTACACAGAATTCAAACAATGAGATTGGAATTGAGGACTTCAATTCCAAATCTCGTGTTTGGTAGCACAAAAATTATGTAGATTTGGAATTGGTAGTGCAAAAAATGAATTGGAACGGGTGAATTCAATTCTATGGAATTGAATCCCATGAAATTTTAATTTCAATTCAATTCCAATTCCATCAATTCCGTGTACCAAACGGATCCTTAATAGATTTCTCTTAATATATATTAAGGCTTCGTTTGGTAAGAGCGTTTTCGATTAGCGTTAGCGTTTTGGATAAAATTTTAATGGTGTAGATTAAATCTAAAAACGCTAACGCTAAGTTTTGGATATAATTTGATCTACTTATAATTATAAACATATTTAATACAAAATAAATACTATAATAAATGACTAGTGGTGAATGAAACATGGCTTTTTGCGTTCTTGGACGGATGCATTGACGAATCGTTGTCGCCGCGTGCCCCATAGATCGTCGGTGTCCACGTGACGGAAGCGAAGAAGCTCCGAGATGTGACGTCATCGGAGAAAAAAAAAATAATGCGGGCAAGATCCGAGTCCGTCGGGATAAAGATGCGATGCGTTTTTAAGAGTGGTCCCCACCAACAACAGACTTTTTTTACCCTTTGCGAATTCCCTGGGGGAGGGAGAGATCTCATTCCAGTCGAACTCTGCTTCCGGTTCTCCGCCCTTAAAGTATAATATAAGTGGGGACGCCTCGCCCTTTCCGCCCGCTGATCTCCAACTGAAGCAGAGAGAGAAAGAAGCGATTCACTGCTTACCATTATTAATTCCAGAGTTTGTTTTAAGATAAACTCAATTGGATTCCCCTCTTTAAGTTTTCTTTATTTTTAATCCATAGCCGAGTAAACAAATACCGGCCTCCTTTCGCATCAGGTTAGTTTTTGCCACCTACCCACCCACCTTTACCTACCCCCCCACCCACCCTCCAATCAATATTGACGGCGATCTCGTCACTGCATCCAATCCAATCCGATCGGGAAAGCTTTTTCTCATTTAAACAAATTCCGAGCTTGTTCGCCTTGTTGTTGGGTGGTACTTGTTTGTTGTGATGTCTGCTGCGTCGAGTTCCAGCTCCGTTTTTCACGTCAGGCGCGGCGAACTCGTCGCGCCGTCGCCGACCAGGAGGAGTCTGGTGAGCCGGCTGCCGCTTGGCGTAGGCGCTCGGAAAGCTACCGGCAGGAGGACCGGGTGTTCTGTGTCCAAAAGGTTTAGCGGGACGACGGCTGAGCTTCGGCCTTTGGGCTCCCACAGGTTGCAGCTCTGGCAATCGGATCGGCGTTGCAGAGCTCCGAAGCTACGGCTGGTGGTGCGTTCCTCGTTGTCTCAGGTTCCGGAGAAGCCGCTTGGTCTCTATGATCCCTCCTATGATAAGGACTCATGCGGCGTCGGATTTGTGGCTGAACTCTCCGGTCAAAGCAGCCGCAAGACGGTATAATAAAAACTCTTTAAAGCTCTTGTTCTGAAAATTAAGAAAACAAAAAAAATAAATAAAAATAAACGCAACCTTGGCGTGTAGGTGGCAGATGCAATCGAGATGCTAGTGCGAATGTCTCACAGAGGCGCGTGTGGGTGCGAGACCAATACGGGTGACGGGGCTGGAATTCTAGTCGATCTTCCTCATGACTTTTTCAAGGAGGTCGGTATGCTAATTCATAAAGCTACTCGTACTTACTTATATTGCATTATTTGGCAATGCCCAGTACTTTAAAAAAAGAGAATTCCATTTTTAAATTGTTAATAAGTTCTTTTTTATTCGACATAGGGTCTCTCTCGTTTTTTACCCCATGTTTTTTGAGTTCGAGATGAACTGTAACTGGGTAGAGAAAAACTAGAGGGAAATAGAACTCTTCTGTCCATCCAATATGGTCTTATTGGACCTTCCAAAAAACTGGTCTTATTGGTGTTGGTGGTTTTCCTCTATCAAGATGTTGAAGTATTGATTGATGACCTTTTTTTGTTCTGTTTTAGGTAGCAAAAGATGTTGGGTTTGAGCTTCCCCCTCCTGGACAGTATGCAGTTGGCATGTTCTTTTTGCCTACTTCTGCTAGCCGAAGAGAGCAAAGTAAAATTGTATTTACAAAGGTAACTCTAAGCTAGAATACTGCTTTTGTAGTTCACTATAATAATAAAAACACTATACACTTGTGATGAAGAGATATCTGGTTTAGGTGATTAACACGCGTAGTATTTTTATGCTTCTGAAATTAGTGTCTGAATGTATAGGTGGCTGAATCACTTGGTCATCAAGTCCTCGGATGGCGACATGTCCCGACAAATAATTCAGGACTAGGAAATTCTGCTTTGCAGACAGAGCCGGTCATTGAGCAAGTGTTCCTTACACAAACCCCCCGCTCAAAGGTGGATTTTGAGCGACAGGTAATTGTGGAGTTTCACACACACACACACACACACATATACACATATACATACATACATATACATACATACATACACACACACACACACACACACACACACACATATATATATATTACTTTGAAAAGCTTTTGGTTTATATATAATTGATTTGAAATTGATGCATGGCAGATGTACATACTACGGAGGGTTTCTATGGTAGCTATTCGAGCTGCATTAAACCTCCAACACGGCGGCTATAAAGATTTCTACATATGTTCTCTTTCCTCGAGGTGACTTTCTACGCAGTTGTATTACTTGCAGTCTGTTTCACTTATATCATGCGATTTCTAATGATTTGATTTTGTCTTATGGTAGGACTGTTGTCTACAAAGGCCAGTTAAAACCTGATCAGTTGCAGGAATACTACTATGCAGATCTTGGCAATGAAAGGTTTACGAGCTACATGGCCCTGGTAAATATATTATCCAATCTCTTTATAATTGTACACTGACTCCATACTTCAACAACCAACAGCATTGGATCAACCCTAACAGGAAGAAATGCAAGGTTGAGAAAATGACTTCTGAGGCATTGAAGTATGTATGATCTCTTAAGTTCTTGCACTTGATCACTGTTTGAGTTGGATTCTTGGTTCACTTGGTCAGGACCTATTTATGAAGTCATCAATGTTTGCAGAAACTTGATGTCATCCTTTCTATAATAACATTCCAAGGATGAATCCTCAATTAATGGGGGGAAAGGAATTGTGTCTGGTCAAGGTTACCTAGGGTTTTGATCCATGTTTCCCAGCAGCTATTATAAAATTCAATCATGAATCCAAATAAAAGTATTGTTTCAGATTTTGTGCTGTAGCAATTTGGATTTTCCTCAATTCATTTTCATGGGTTATGGTGCAGGTTCATTCTAGGTTCTCAACAAACACCTTTCCTAGCTGGGATCGTGCTCAACCAATGCGCGTCTTGGGTCACAATGGCGAAATTAATACACTACGTGGCAATGTGAACTGGTAAGTCATATTGCAAAAAACATGATCAGAATTGTTAGGCCCTTTGTGGTCTGGATTTGTCATCAAATGGAAGATTGAGATCATTGGTCAACATGTCAAGGATTCTTTTTGAATTTATTTTTTCCTTTCTTCTTTTTTATACAGTTGAACAATGATGTTCTTATTCATTTATTTGACGTCAAGGGTTTTTCTTAAATCAAATTATATGGCATTTTTTGCTTTGTTATACAGTTGATTAATACTGTCATTATTCATTTAGGATGAAGGCTCGTGAGGGTCTCCTGAAGTGCAAGGAGCTCGGCCTTTCTAAAACAGAATTGAAAAAGCTTTTACCCATTGTTGATGCTAGCTCTTCTGATTCAGGTTTTGCCCTCCTTTCAACCTTTCATTTTAAACTTTATGCATGTTATTCACTCATTTTTATTTAATCTCAATATAGGACGAGTAGTAATTAAAATTTTAGATCCTATTTGGAAATCTCCTTGTTATGTGTTTATCATATCTGTTCCTTTTTTACTTTAGGAGCATTTGATGGTGTACTTGAGCTCTTAGTTCGTGCTGGTAGAAGTCTACCTGAAGCTATAATGATGATGATTCCTGAAGCCTGGCAAAATGACAAGAACATGGATCCTGAAAGGAAGGCTTTATACGAATACTTCTCAGCTCTCATGGAACCTTGGGATGGTCCTGCTCTCATAGCATGTATGGATGGCGTATAGGGAAGATTTTTACTTTGACAATTTGAGGTTTTATGCTTTACTTAAAATACTCTTTTGCATGGCTTGAAGTTACTGATGGACGCTACCTTGGAGCAACATTGGACCGCAATGGTCTTCGGCCAGGCCGGTTTTATGTCACACACAGTGGACG